TGAAAAGGGGGTGCAGGCTACGGCTGCTCTAAGGTGAGGGGCCGGGAGCCAGCCACTCTGCTACTTACACCTGCATGTCCCGGAAACAGTTAATGCAGAGCATGGATTTTTTCTCGGTTGAAAACATGATGTAAGGTTCCTCATGAAGAGCTGGGAACAAACAAATTCAGCCCAGAGTAAAACAAGCGCCCGGAAGAGAGAACCGCAGAATCTAGGCAGGTGAATCTAGGGGCGTCTCCGTCCTCAGCGGAGCGGCAGGGGGTGGCCACCCCGCTGAGGCTGGAGATGTCCCTCCTCCCGGGTTTGAGAGGTGCCCCTCTCCCTGGCCCCGGTCTGTTATCGCTGCCCCTCTGTTCAGATGGCACCGCTTGGACCTGCAGGCTCTCTGGCTGGGCATCCCATGAGGCCAACTGGAGGAGGCTGCAGGCAGGTTGCTGCCCAAGGCATAGCCCTTTTAATCAATGCTTTCCTCACCTGCGCACCTTGCAGGGAGCCTTCTGTGCTTACCCCGGAGTCCTTTGCACGGAGGCGCAGCGCGTGCTGCCTGTTAGCCAGGTGCAGCCTTGCTTCCTGTAGAAGCTGGGGGGTGGCTGCCTCCGTTTGCCAGCTGCATGGTCCCCCTGCAGCTTCCTGGCCTGGCACCCCACCTGGGACAGCAATGCAGGGTCCAGCTCCTGGCCGGTGCCTGCTACTCCAAGAGGAGAGATGCTGGATCCCGCTGGGCCAGTGGTGCCGACAGGCCCTGCTCCCTGTGGCGCTGCCCGGGGGCGAGGGCGGGGGGAGGTACTCACAGCATTTCTTGTGGATGTCCTTGGTGCGCTTCGTCAAGGAGACGATCTCGTGACGAGAGAACATCTTGGCTTTGTGGGTCTCTTCGCGGCACTTGCTGCAGAGCGGCTGGTTGCAGGTGTTGCAGAAATACATGGTGTCCATCTCCTGGGGGCAAATGGGGAACAAGCCGCAAAGGGGGTTGAACTCTGAGCTCTCGGGGGGGCGTTTCTCAGCTGAGAGGGTGTCGGTCTGTCTCTGGGCGGAAACGGCCCTGGCCAAGAGTAGGGACCAGGACGAGCCGGGCAGGCATCAGCATTGTGGCTAACGGCATCGGGGAGCGTCACAGCCCCGGTCGAGCGCCTCCTGCTGGACCCTCCCCGGCATCTCCCCGTACTGGACGCCTGCTGCACCTCCCTTGAGCTGTGTCAGGCCCAGGGTGTGGCCTCAGACCTGTTCATCTACCCTTTGCAAAACTTTGTGGGCAGGGACGCGTGTCTGAGAAGCGCATAGCATAGGGGCTTTGCGAAGGGTTGTGACGCCGTGACACGCTGCCTTCCACAGCCCACAGCAGACTCGCAATGGAAGCTCTGTCTCTGCCTCCGCTGCCTTCCCATGCCTGAGCACCTTTGGGGGTCAGCCGGAGGCCTTTCGGAACTCCGCCCCCGGTACACGGCGTCTGAGTCACCGAGTCTCTCCTCTCCTGCAGCCAGCTTTGTCCGGCTGCCCCCCAGGGCGTGAGCGCCCCTGCCTGTTACAGCTTCTAGTCCTTTTGGTCACGTGCCCCCATCAGGCGATTTAAGTGCCCCCAAGTGAGCCCGTGGCTTAGTTACCAGCTCGCCTGGGCAGACAGGGTCTCCTGAGGGGGAGCCAACTCGCTGTCCTACGACGCTCCTGCCTCCTCACCTGCTGGGTCGCTTCCCTGCTGTCGCACGTCCCTGCGCTGGGAGAAGAGCGGAACCTCCCGCAGGTGACCGGCCTGCTGGCAGGGCCTGCAGCAGCATCTGAGACTGCAGCCCACGCCCAGGGAAGAAAACCAGGCAGCCCAAATCCAGCCTGAGACGACAGTGCAGCGGGGGAAGGGAAGGCTTT